TATACTCGAGTATATACGGTACTTCATTTATTTATTACAATTGTATTCACAACATTCTTTACTTTTAATTTCCCTCTAATACTTTTTATTAAGAAAGATTATAACTATAATTATGTAATCCACTTTTAATTTCTCTATTTTACTAAAATTATTTCACTTGATTAGTAAAATTACTTTGCTAAAAATTGTTAATAATTTTTAAAATTATAATGAAAGTTATTTTTCCAAAATCTTTAGATTGTCTATCAGAATTTTATATAATTCAGACATCATTTTTGAAGCATACTTTACCATAGCTAAGAACCATTGTTTAATTATTTATGCAGATAAATTATTATTATATTTCGATTTAAAAAATCAAGGGTTGAAATTATTGTAGATTAATTATAAAAATGAAAAACAGAATATAACTTAAGTTTTGCCTAACAGAAACATGTTAGGGTCCAATCTTAAAACCTTTGCATAAAGAGTTGGGATGGTATTTTTAATTAAAGCTACAGTTTTATAAACATATTTAATTTCTAAGATGCTAATTTTAAGATAATAAAAAGCCACTATAAATATTCCAGATTTAAAATCCTCATTGTTCCCAGAACAAAAATGTAACTTCACATGGTTGGCTTCTTCAGTGTCAGTAGTTGAACATATTCTGTATCCTACACTTAATTACATACACTTTAGGTTTCCATCTGGTTCTTGTATTCTATTGATAGTTTATCTCCTATGTTAACAAAGCCAGTAACCAAATCATAACAAGTTAATTTTCTTTTTTTTAAAAATGCTAGTGCCTTTTATAGAATAATTAACATTTAAGTTTTTATTAATTCTAGAACCATTTCAACTTTTAGAGACTTCAAATCAACAACTATTCTTTATAACTCAAACAGTAACTGAATTGATTAATTAACAATTTAGAAAAACTAAAATTAAAAGCTTCATAATTCAACAGATAAATTATAAGAATCAACAAAATGGTTAGAGTTTGAAATTTTAGCATTTTGATTCCAAAAAATGCAAAATATTTCTGGTGCTCTACAAAGAAAAATCAGAATAAATAGCACTTTTTAAGGCTCTTGCTATATCTATTCACCATTAGAAACTGATAGTTCAGTTTTAATTGGATTTTATTCTTTGGATTATATTATATACTTATATATAATATGTGTTTATGAACACACATATTACTTGTTCTTGCATTGCTTCAGTTTTCATAGTAAGTTTCAACTATACAACAAGTAGTCCTCAACTTACAACAGTTTGCTTAGTGACCATTTTGAGTTAAAACGGTACTGGAAAAAGTGGCTTATGACCATTTTTCACAAATCATTGCAGTATCTCCATAGCAGTGATGGGTTACGATTGGTATGCCCTGGTACAGGTGTACCAGTGCCTGCTGGGAGCACTAGGTATCGTTCCGTTACGATGCTCCAGAGGAACCATCCGCCCGCTCTCCTTACCTCTATTTGAGCTGACAAGGGCATTTGTGCACATGCATGAAGCGTAGAACACCTGCGCAATGCTCTGCCAAGCAGCTAGTGTCGCAGGCAGTGGGTACGCATGTGCACATTGCGCACGTGCATGTGGTGGACGCCTGGCCCCATTGCAGTGTACCAGTTACAACGGGATCCATAACCCACCACTGCCCCATAGTCACATGATCAAAATTTAGATGCTTGGCAACTGATTCATATTTATGACGGTTGCAGTGTCCCGGAATCATGTGGTCCCCTCGGCAAGTAGGGAAGAACCCAGATTCACTTTAGTCAACTGATGTAACAACTGTAGAAAAAAGGTCGTAAAGCGTGGCAAAATTCAGTTAACAAATGTTTCACTTAGCAACATATATTTTGGCCTCAATTGTGAATGTAAGTCAAGGACTATCTGCATTGCAATACTTTTCTTAGTCTAACATTATAGGTTACAAACAACATAATAATACAAGCACAGTTTATCCTGAATGAGTTTTTTTGAATATGCATTTTATATTTTTAATTAGTATCACCCATTGGTTCAGTGCACTTCCTACCTTCATAGCAAGAGCAATTAAGGCTCCTTCAGTTGGTTTCCCCATTAAAGTGTTGTTTCTAATTATAGCATCATTGCACACACACCCAGCCTACAAAGAAAACAAATGTTACTATAATAAACTGTTACTATTTCAGAACATAGTTATTTTTCCATGTGAGGCTCACCTCAACAATTCTGCCAATAGATGGTTTGCTAAATCCATGGACAATGTCACCTTCAACAATGACTTCCCCAAATCTATTATAGCCCACTCCAGTAACCTGTGACAAAATAATCAGCACAATTATCAAACCTTATGATCTTAAAAATAATGTAGGAAAAGTAATGATTTGTGAAAGATAAATCCTTGAGTCCTTATTTAGTACATGGCTTATCATACATGGAATAGAAATATATATTAACATTTCAAATAGATTGGTAAAACACAATAAAATGTAAATGTTAAAAAAAAATCTATGTTCAAATACCAATATCTAGGCCAGTGATGGCAAACCTTTTTTGGCTGCAATGCCAAAAGCGGGGGAAGCACAGGGGGGTTGTGCGCCAGTGTGCCACACCAACAATGTTATGTACGTGTGCCCCCAGCGAGCCTGTATGCGTGAGATCAGTGACCGCTCCCCTGCTTTTGCTGCATTTTTTTTCACCTTCCCCAGGCTCCAGAGGGTTTCTAAGAGTCTGGGGAGGACAAAAGCAGCCTCCGCGCGCCCCCGAGGCCTCAGGAGCTTTCCTGAAGCCTCTGGAGGGCAAAAAATGGACCTGCAAGGAACCCGGAAGTTCAGGAATGGCGACTTCCGGTTTGTCCGTAGGGCCAATTTTCGACCTCCAGAGCCTTCAGGAGACTTCCCTGAAGGCTCCGAAGGGCAAAAAACGGACCTATGGACTAACCGGAAGTCACCATTCCTGAACTTCAGGGTTCTCCTTAGGACCATTTTTGATCTCCAGAGCCTTCAGAGGCCTTCAGGAGGTTTCCCTGAAGGCTCCGGAGGGCGAAAAATGGTCTTATGAGCAAACCGAAAGTCTGTTCCTAAACTTCCAGTTTGCCCATAGGGTCGGTTTTTCACACTTTGGAGGCTTCAGGGAAGCCTCCAGAAGGTGAAAAACGCCCTCAAAAGATTGAACGCCTCACGTGCCCTGACAAATGGCTCCATGTGCCATAGGTTTGCCGTCACGGATCTAGGCCATTTAACCAATGAAGTGCAGCATTGATTTCTAGTTTTGAGCAAAAAATGCGAATGGGAGAAAATTGTTTAATTTACTTAACAATCAAAGCAAATATTGAAAAATTGTGTGCAGCCATGTTATGCCTCAACGTACAGCTCAACAACTTACAATCATAATTCCAGGTTCAATGACAAACAAGGACTTCATGTATAAATATATATATTTGAAACAATTGTCCAATAATCCAGAGTTTCTCAATCTTGACAACTGAGAAATGGATCAACTCTCAGAATTCCCTAGGCAATCTGTTGTAAATCTGTTGCTAAGACTGGAAAATTCCTAAGAGCCACAGAGGCTAATTTACTCTAATAACAGCCAGTTTCTAGGAAAAAGATTTCAGAACCATTACACTTTAGTAAACAAAGAATCTCTGACACTGATGCTCACATACCTCAGCATGTAGTCCATCTGCTGTGAATATATGAATTACAGTCATTTCATTTTTTGTCAGTGTACCAGTTTTATCTGAACAAATTACATTGCAACATCCTGAAAAGCATAAACAATATTATCAGTTCATTATTTGTCAGATTTGATAAGATAATGGAATATAAGAGCAAAATCTATTTCAAGAATCTAAAATAATAGAGAAGGATCCTTGCTTAGATCAGGGATAGGAAAAGTCCCATAATCTGTGGCGTAGCTAATTTATGTAGTCATAAACCTACTCTAGGATCTCAGGCCAATTCATTTTTAAAGAGAGGCCTTACCCTTTCACTAAAGTTTTAGCATAATTCATGCTGGAGCTACCCTTTTCACATTCCAATAGCAACAACTGCAAGGGCAGCTGGTTCCACCATTCTTTACCTTTGTCTAGAGGAAGAATTGGGAATTGGCCAAGCTAATAAGCACTTGCAGATGCTCTTGCACTGCAAGAGCCACCACATGCCTTTTCCGTTTATGATGATGAAGACTATCATTATCCAAATCTGAAGAAAGTTACATTTCAAAAAACTTCTAGCTCCTCCACATGACCTGGATGATTACTTTTGGAAAACTTTGGATTGGGACCTGACCTAATAACATACTCTAAGCAACAAAAATATTCTTAGGTCCAAATTTATTCCTGATTATTGGGGTTCATTAAGGCAAGTAAATGTGGGGTCATCTAGTTTTCTCCAGATAAACCTACCAAATTCTCTCTTTTACTAGATCAAACATTTTGCCTATTTAATAAACTTCAGATGTCAAACAAATATTTCCTTAATAACATACAGTCATTCAATCCAATGCTTTGATTTTATAATTGCTGTCCCAATTAAAAGAGTATAAATGAAGGGGATTAGACATATCTCCTAAGGAAAGGTTCCACAACTCTTAATCATGCAAATATAGTAGAGTTTCCATTGCTATTCTAAAGTTGGAAGTTGGACAGGTTTTCTACCTGAGTAGGTATTATACACTGTGAAACACAGTAAATACAGTTAAAGCTATTTTTAATATGGTACAAAAGCTTGGCTATGGCCAATAGCCATACTGCTGAATTCTGCACCAGTTCAATGAATTATGTTTGCTCTTCCAAAAAAAGGCCTCATCAATATATAAAAACTCAAGCTTAAATCTACCATTTCAACTGCCTGCAGATAGTTTCTTGCAATTTTTAAACACAGTAAAAATATTTACCAGCATATATAGAAATCATAGTTAATTCCAGAAATACAAGGGTTTATTTTTATAATAATGTATTGCTATAGTGGTCACTTTGGATATTTTGGAGCACTACTTTTTATACAATATGCCATTTATACTCAAAGGTATTTTGATATTGATTTGATATATTGCTATTAGCAGTTTTGCATATTATTCTTAATCTTACCTAAAGTTTCAACAATTGGCAATTTTTTCACAATGGCCTGTTTCTTAACCATTCTCATGACACCAAGAGCCAATGTTACTGTTACAACAATTGGAAGACCTTCCGGGATGGCAGCAACAGCTAAGCTGAATATTGAAAGGATGTGTTAATTAAGCTATATGCAGAAAAAAATAACTTATATGGTTAAGTTAAAGCAGAGTATTGACAAATTTCATGAATAACTGCATTCAAAGAGGACTGGGGAGCTGATTGGTATTTTGCTTTGTTTCTTTGAAATTTGAGGTTTCTAAAGCAGAAGCATATTGTTAATCCAGAATTAATTCAAGTTATGCTGCATAACTCTGAAATGTTTCTTGAGATTACCACAAATTCCAAAAAATTTTTCTCTGTATCACACAAGCTTAGAATTTAACAATCTATATGCAAAATTGGGACACCCCCCCCCCCCCACTTATTTGCACAAGGACATCTGTGCAATCTATTCAATACATGGCGGTCCTGTATATGAGTTCTATATTTCATGATGTTCTTCAGGGAATGAAATCTGTTTTTATACAATGTAGTGGACATAGAATAAGAATCTTACCTGACACCAATGGTAAACATGTCAAGAATATGTTTTCCTTGCAACCAACCAACTAACATAATTATTCCTATAAAAATAAACAGAATTTATAAGCATCAATCCTTGTCCTGATAATTAATACCCTTTCCCACAATTTGTACCAAACATTTACAATAAATAACTTAACTGATTCCTTACCAATTATACCAAAGGAATACAAGGAAAGCTGCTTCCCTAGTAGATCCATGCTTCTTTGTAAAGGTGTCTTTGGTGCCTTTATTTAAAAAAAAAATGTCAGACTGATATTATTAAACTCACTGATTTGCTGAATTTGCAGAGTTGTTTCATTCACTGAAATCATGCTAAAATTAAAGGATTAAACTGTTTTAAAGAATTCCTGAGAAAAGCCTTACACCTGAGAAATATGAAAGAAAAAAAATTAAATTATAAATGTAAATTATAAATCTTAAAGTATCTAAATTCAGGCTAATATCCACTACAAATTTTGTACAATGTTTGAACTCATTTCTGTACATCTGCATACAAAGATATAAACAATTTTAAGAGTATTGAAATTAGTCTGGCATGCAAGTTTGAAATTATTTGGGGGAAAACATTTCCGCATATTTAGAACAAGTAGAGTGCAAATTATGACCTCAATTGGGACTGGAACTTCCATCAGTAAGCCGAATCACCATGTGACCAGTTTCAGTAGACCCAGCTGTGGTCCTTAGGCCAAGACAGTGATGTTATTAGGCAAGGATCTCACGCTTCTTCTGCCCTGCTGTGCTTGTTTTCACTTCAATTTCCCTCATCCTATCTTCTCCCAACTCTGCCTTTTTGTGTCTCCTGCACGCCTGCTTCTCCCTGTCACTGCTGCATCCCACTGCCCACAGTTGCTATTTTCTTCCTCTTGCTGGTAAAGGAGGATCCAGGTGCTAGGCAGGGCAACTCTGTAGTGCACACAGTAAGAATGGGGAGAGACAATAGTTGTTTCCTGGGCAAAAGTGGAGGCTCTTTGGGATGCATTGTTGGAATAGATTTGGAAGAAAGGGAAGGACTATAGGCTTCCAGAGTGCAATGCATGCATCCCATAGCTACACTCTTACCCAGCACCCAGATCTTGAACCACCAGTAGAAGAAAGATGGTAAAGATCAGCCACCATTAGTGGGAGATATGGTAGCAGGGGCAGCAGAGGTAAGTGGTGGAGTGTGTGGCTACCCAAAAGAGCAAAGATAGGGGGAAAACAGATGGAGGAGGAGGTGAAGTGGCCCTGCAGTCATAAGTGTGGGTTTTTGATGATGTGACTGCAAGGGCACTGCAATTGCCATAACTTCAGGCATGAGTTGTAAATCCTTTTATTCAATAAAATTCTAACAGTCTCTGGATGAATGGTTATAAATGGATAACTAGTCAGTTTATATTAGTTAGGATTTACATTAATATTATTTATGAAATGTTACTTACTTCTTCTGCTTGCATCATTTTGAAAACCTCACCAAATTCAGAGTTTTCACCAGTTCCAATAACTATCCCCTACAAAACAGAAGCAAAAAGATTAAATTGTTTAAAATTGTTCTATTCAGGAAGTTTAATTTTTTGAAAAAAATACAAATGAAAACTCAAGAATTCTGAACAGTTAAAACAGAACTAATTTGTGTTCACTAAACCTCCAAATACGTTCTTAGAAATACAAAATGTATACTACCAGCAATAAAAAGGGAGTAAGTGACTCCACAGAATCTGACATATAGAGATCCATTTAACTTCTTAGTTGCATTGATTTAAACATTATTCATTATATAAATATATATTTCAATTGCTATGACTCCATCTTAATTAAAATAAATATATTTAACACAAAGTTGTGAACAATTTATTTTTAAATACTTTCAATAAATTACAAACAGGCAACTGAAAGTATTCATAATATATTTTCCAGCACACAAAGTAAAGAAAATATTTAAAAATACATATTTTATCTCTGATCTGTCTTTTTAGAATTAGTTTAATAACCTTTGAAGAAAATTACCTTGGCTTTTCCACATCGAACTAGTGTTCCCATAAAAGCAATGTTGCTTCTTGAAGTGAGATCTCCATTCATAGCAGCTGGTTGGGGAGAAGTGCATTTAGAACATGGAGTTGTCTCACCTGTCAAACTCGATTCATCAATAGAGAGATCAATTGCCTTTGAGAACAAACAGATAAAATTAAAAAGTTATATTATGCATTCTACTTTTTTTAAATGGTAAAGGCTGTATTCAACAGTTTGAAACAACTGTTCTATTAGGGATGGAGCATGTTAAGCAAAATGGAGATTTTACTTGAAGTCCTTTCATTTGAAGGAGAAACTGGAAGCGCCGCAACGGGAACAATTGGGAAATAGCAGAGCTCTGACAGGCTCCATGAAAACCCAACCGGACACTTGCTGCCAGGGACCTTCTGCTCAGAACCATTCTGGAGGAACAGGTGAAAAAAGAAAAAAATATCTCGACGACCAAGAAGAAACCGGCAGTTCCTCGAAAGATCTGAGATAAAGTTCTTAAACTGACAACGGAAGCGGCGGCAGTCACACCAATGGCCGCTTCAAAGTTGGGAGAGCCGGACCAAGCTATTTTGAGCAGGAGCAGTGCTGGAACAAAGTGTTGGACCTGGGTGAAAGAGTGATCAATGCAAAGTAAAGAAATTTTACATTTGGATTTTAAAAAAGAGATCCAGAGCGGAAATTAGCGGTTATTTGGCAGACGGGGGATTTAACAGAGGAAAAAAGAAAACAGAAAGCTCTAAAAGACTTTTATTCCAAAATTTGGACTTAGAAACATCAAAAATAATAAAAGAACTCAGGGGGGGAAATTCTTTCTTTCTACCTTTTTATTTTTTGTGGAATAAATACAGCTTTTGGCAGCTTTTGACAGCTAGAACACATTGCTTACAGTGGAGAAGGAGGCATCTATTAGTGAGAAAAGGATACTACAAGACTCAATAGAAAATAACAGAGGAAAGTACAGCTGTAACCTGATCTTGACTGTAGCAAGATAAAGATACTTTGAAGCGATGTGAAATAACAAGGAGGACTTGTTTTTGCAACAGTGTTGTAGATTGGACTTACTGTTTCGGTGGAAGAGAAAAAGCAAATAAAAGTGAAATTGGACTTTAGAAATTGGAAATAAGAAAAGAAAAAAGAAAGAACGTTGGTCCTTACCTGAATGTTTCTTTTCTGCAGTGAAGGTGGGAGGGGCTACAGCTGGGTTTAGTCACAGCCTGATTGGTCCAGAGACTGAGAGAATTTTCCTAAAGATACCATCCTTCCCTATTGGCTCCCAGTTTCCCTGAGGTCGATGGAGAAGCTGTAATCTTATGTAAGGCAAAACAATTGAAGACATATGTACACATACCCCACAACCACCCCTCACTGGTCTAACTGAACTTACTAGGGTGGGATGTAGCCCTTCCTGCCTTCACTGCAGAAAAGAAACATTCAGGTAAGGACCAATTTTTCCTGCAGCTTGGTGGGAGGGGCTACAACTGGGACATACCCAAGCTAAGTCCCAGGGTGGGATGAAGATCCCGGGAGAGGGGAGGTAGCCACCTGTTGAAGAACTCAATGCCCAAAGGACGCGTCCACCGAGGTGAAACGGTCCAAACGATAGTGGCGGATAAAGGGTGTCGGGGAGGCCCAGGTGGCCGTCTTGCAAATATCCTCCAGGGGAGCCCTAGTGGCCCACACGGCCGTGGTAGCAGCACTTTGGGTGGAATGGGCCGTGATCTCTTGGGGAGGAGTCTTCCCTGAGGTTAAATATGCCTCACTAATGGCCTATCTCAACCATCTACCAATGGTGGAAGACAAAACTCTAGCACCCATTGTGCTGGGCTAAAAGGATAAAAAGAGAGCCTCTAACCGGCGGAAGGAGGATGTGCGTCTAAGTTATATGTGCAAGGCGCAGCGCACATCCAGCCAGTGCCACAGGTGTTCCCTCTTGTGTGAAGGAGAGGGGCAGAAGTTAGGGAGTATGATTTCCTGCGACTTATGGAACAGGGAGTTGACCTTCGGGATGAAGGTTGGATCTAATCTAATTCTGTGGAATTGGCAAAGGTTGTCCTTAGACGACAATGCTCCCAACTCCGATATGCTACCTTCAAGGTGCAGAATCTGAGGTAAACTGTCCGAAGTGATTCGAAGGGGGGCTGTGAGGGCCCTGAGCATGGTAGGGAAGTCCCACGTTAGGAAACAATGGATAGGAGAGGAACGAACGTTTGCTGACCCTCTGAGGAACCAACCATCCCCTGCCAGGTCGGAGGAGAGGGAAGCCACCTGCCTACGTAGGGTGTTATGGGAGAGACCCAGATCCAGGCCGTGCTGAAGGAACTCAAGGACATGGGCCACTGAGGTGTGGGCCGGGGAGAGATTGAATCTCTCGTACCAAGAGGCAAACACCAACCACGTGGAATTATATATCCGTGTGGTCGATGGTTGCCTGGCTGCTTCAATGTTTGAGATAAACTTCGCTGAGAGATGTGCCTCCCTCAGGAGGCATCGCTCTAGTGCCAGGTGGTCAGTTGGAGCCACTGGGGCTCCAGATGGAAGAGATCCCCTGGCACAGGGCGATCTCCTGAGGAATCCTCCACGGGGGAGAGATGGACAGCTGAAACCAAGGCCACCTCGACCAATATGGGGCTACCAGGATGATGTGTGCCCTCTCTATCATTACCTTCCTCAGGATCCCCTGGATCTGAGGGAGAGGGGGAAAGGCAAAAAGAGGCCCAGAGGCCATGGACTTCTGAGTGCGTCTGCTCCTTCCACATTGCATGCTGGGAAGTGAAAGAAGAATTGTGGTAGTTGGGCATTGGTCGGGCTCGCGAACAAGTTCACTAACAGGTAGCCGAAGCGGTGGCAAATCTTGTGAAAGAGCCCTGGAAGCAGCTGCCACTCGCCGTGATCGACTGTCGCCCGACTCAGACACTCGGCCTGATGATTGGCAATGCTCGAAATGTGATCTGACATTATTGAGGCCAAGTTCTTCTCTGCCTAGAGTCCAAGTTTCTGAGCCTCCAGCCAGAGACACTTGGAGTGAGTCTCCCCTTGGTGGTTTATGTGCACCTTCATAGCTACATTATCCATCAAGAGGAGGACATGTTGGTTGGCAATCAAGTTTCGAAATTGCAAGAGTGCAAGGTATGCTGCTTTCAGCTCCAGCCAGTTGATATTGTGGCGAAGGTCCTATTTCGACCAACGACCCTGCGCCAGTCTTGATTCCATCAAGGCCCCCCAGCCGTAGAGGCTCGCGTCCATGGTGACAGTAATGCAATCCGGTTCCCAAATGCCGGAACTGTGAAGCAGGGCCAGAGATATCCACCCCCTCAGGGACCAGCAGAGATCCAGAGGCAGTCCGATCAGGCGCAAGTTGTTCATGCGATGACATTGATAGGGGATGAGCAGCCATTGAAGTGTCTGAGAGTGGAGACGCACCCAGGGGACTATCCCTATGCACAACACCATCTTGCCCAAGAGGCGAGCCAAGGTCAGGATGGAAACTGACCGACTTGCATGGACATGGCGTGCCAAGCATTGGAGACTCTTGAGACGATCCGGAGAGAGCCAAACAAGTTCTGCTATAGAGTTCCTATGTGTTGGATTCTTGTCGAGGGAGAAAGATGACTTTTGGTGAAGTTGACGGAAAACCCTAGGGAGTGAAGAGTTTGAATGGTCAGTTTCAGGTTGTGGACAGCCTACGTGCCGGATTAGGCCAGGAGGAGCACATAGTCCAGATAACAATGGAGTCTCACCGGATAGGAACGCTCGTAGGTGAGCTACGAGAGCTGCTAGAACCTTTGTGAACATGCACGGGGCAGAGGCTAGACCGAACGGGAGCACCCTGTATTGGAAGTGACATCCCTTGTGGGAGAATCGGAGGAATCTGTGATGGGCTGGCAGTATGGGGATGTGTAGGTATGCTTCCGTTAAGTCTATTGAGGCCATGAAGTCGCCCCACCGAATCCCCAGGAAGATAGACCTGAGGGAGGCCATCTTGAAGCGCCTGTAGACCTGGTAGGAGTTCAGGTGCTTCAGATCCAGTATTGCCCTCCATCCCCGAGTCTCCTTGAGAGTGGGCGGCATACAAATTAAATAAATAATAATAATAAGCTCTTCGGGACCACGAAGAGGTTGGAGTACAGGCCTAGCCCGTACTCCCTCCTTGGAACAGGTTCCACCGCCCTGATATCTATCAGATGTTGAATGGCTAGGCTCATGAGGCGGCGGCGTTCCAAATCCCGAGATGGGGAGAAGGTTCTGAAGAGCATCAGGGGAAGGGAGAGAAATTCCAACCGGAAGCTGTACTTGATGGTGGACCTGACCTAAGCATCTGACATTATCTGATCCCACTGATCCGTGAAGGATCCTGGCAGCCGCCTATGAGTTGACTCAAGTTGCAGTAATTTCCTTCTGTGGAAATGGCGGCCGCCCCCCCTCAAAAGGGCTGCTTGGACTGTCCCTGAAATCTACTCCTATCCTGGTAGAATAATCGATGGCTCTGCCTGTCATACTGTAGGGGGCATAGCGCTGCTGCCAGAAGTTGGATTCGGGAAGCTGGTACAAAGAAGGTCTCCTGTAAGAAGAAGGAGGAGAGTCCTGCTTCTTAGAATTAGAAGGGAGAACCTTTTCCTTGTCCTTGTTCTCCACAAGGATTGGGTCAAGAGATTCCCCGAATAGATTAGGACCGGTGAAAGGAGCTGCAACCAACCCCCATTTGGACTTGTTGTCCATCTGCTAGTTGCGAAGCCACAAGAGTTGTCTAGACATGACTGACAGCGCCCTGGATGCAAACTTGGTGGAGTCTAGGATGGCATCTGCAGAGAATTGTGTGGCCATGATAATTTTAGCCAGGTCCTGATGGACACGTTCATCTTGGATCAGGATGCGATCCTGCAGCTGGCGAAGCCACATGATGGTGGTTCGGTTAAAATAGGAAGCTGTGGCCGCTGATTTGATTGCCCAGGCGCAGGCAATAAATTTTTTGCGTAAGGTGAGCTCCGCTCGTTTATCCTCGGGCTTCAATTTATCTGCCACGTCACTGGAAATGACGGTGGAGGCATTGGCCAGGAGTGCAATGGGGGGGTATCTACAGTTGGCAATTGAAGGACCTTGGAAATGGCCTGCTCCATAATATAGAAGCAGCGGTCATTGCTCCCAGGATTGGGCAAAGAGGACGGTAGAGCCCACTGACTCTGGACCACCTCCAGCAATAGAGGAGGGGCTGGAACCTCCTTCTTATCTGTATTGGGATTGATAAACATAGCTATATTAGGGTCCCTGTGTTGAGAAACTGGCAAGGCTCCAGTGCCAATCTGAGTAGTCTTCTTGGCCTTGTGCAAGAGGGGCTTGAAGGCCAGTGGTATAAAGAGGCCTGAAAAAGCCTGGGTGTCTGAAGGAATAGAATCTTCATCATCTGAGAAGCCTAATTATGGATGAATGCCCTCCCCCAGTGCTGAGGCCTCACTGACCATCGATGGAGAATGTGCCCTAGGCTGACCCTGGCCCCGGGACGAAGGAGATCTGTGATGTCCATTGTAAGAATGAGATCTAGATGCCCTTTGTGAGGAACGGTCCCTTTGGTATAATCCTGAGGCAATGCCTCTAGAGATGGCAGAGGAGATGAATCTCCTGATGCTTTCAGGCAAGAGATCCAAATCCTCCAGATCCTCCTCTGAGGGTCACATGGGAACTGGACCCTTGGGAGCTAGATGAGAGGGAGGTAGTTAATCCCCAGATCTCCTTTCCGAAGGTTCGCCGCTCCCATCCCTAAATGATCTAGGGGAGATGGGGGGGAATGTCTGCAAGGTCTAGCCGGGGAAACGGAGGGAAAGGAAGGCTAAAGCCCCTAGGAGGAGAGGGAGAGAACTGAGGAATGGGAGACCTGGATCTGTCTGGAGATGTGGGCCTAACAGGGTGAGATTGTTTCTCAACTCTGGCCACTCGTTTCTTCAAGGTCTTTTGTCTTCTAAGTTCATCCCTCACTGTAGCTCTGGAGGGGCGCTGATCTGCAGATGGCTTAGAAGCCGCTGCCCTGGTGCGCAGCCTGTCCTAGCCTTCCTCTCTCCCATCATCAATGCTCCCTTCAGGGCCATGTGCTGATCTGGTACTTGTAGAGGCCATGCCTCACTCACATGTCTGAATCTCATGGAGAGTCAAATAGGAGCCTCCCAGCCTCGATATCTGGCTTCAATATATATATATATATATATATAAAACCAAGATCTGCACGGCCACACATCGAGGCTGGCATATTGAAGCCCATATTAAATATATATATTAAATATAATATATATATTAAATATATATATATATTTGTGTGTGTGTGTGTGTGTGTGTGTGTGTGTGTATGTGTATGTGTACGTGTGTGTATATATGTATATATGTATATGTATATGTATATATATTTCTGCCACCGCCACAAGGTCGCTCCAAAATGGCCACCGCGCCTCGTGATGAATCAAAATGGCGGCCACCCAGTTAAATGGCTCTAAGGCAATGGCCTCCCGGCGAGCCCAGGCTGTTTGTCCACTCTTTGATTGTCCTCGCTGCAGGGACTTCCGAACCACAGGAAAGCTGCAAGTCTTTAGGCTGCAGTTGTTTTAAAACGTGGCGAGGCTAGGACGACGCAACAAAATTTTCTCAGTCACGGCAAGGTTATTAAGACTGCGGCGGGCTATATGCGAGGCAATCCCAGCAGCACGGATCGCAATTGCAGGTGCAGCCCCTGCAATCCTACCTGACACCAATAGTTCACCCTGGGGCCTCTGGGAGTCTCAGCTGCGCTGGGAGCCTGTCACCCTTGCACACCCAGGAGTTGGGCAAAGCCTCCTCAGGCCCAGAGGCAAGGACCAGGAAGCCCTGCCTCCTTATGAGACTGACTAGCAGACTCGATGGCCAGCAGTCCGATAATTTAAGAATTTAGAATACCCAATTAATCGAATTAATATAATAAATATCAATACCTCAAGGATCCTAAACCAGTGCTTCTACTGAGACTGAGAGGAAACTGGGAGTCAATAGGGAAGTATGGTGTCTTTAAGAAAATTCCCTCAGTCTCTGGACCAATCAGGCTGTGACTAAACCCAGCTGTAGCCCCTCCCGCCGAGCTGCAGGAAAAGTTTAAGTAAATGAGATATAACAGAAAAAGTTTAAACAATTTATTAAATTAATTAAGCAGACAATATGGAATTTAGGATGTATAATGAATTACTTGATATGTTAAAAAATGTGCATAAAATGCTAATTGGGGAAAAAAACAGTGGAAAGTCAGAGGGAACTCCTAGAACAAGGAGGAGGAGAAAGGGAGAAAGAAAAGGGACTGAATGAAAAACAAGAAGATACCATAGAAGAAAAAGAGATTGAAAAAGAAAAATACTTACATGATTGTACTGGGATTTACAGTTATATACCAAAAAGAGACAAGGGGGAAGTGGCACCCAAGAAGGGAAAGTTAAATAGCAAAGGTGGGATTAATGGGGAAAAATTGGGGAGAGATACTAAAACAACAGAATTAAAAAGGAGAAAAAAGATTGGAAATAAAAAATATAGTAATTTCAACAAAAAGCAAAAGCTAGGAAAATAGGTGGAGAGAAGAGAATATAAGAGAGGTGAAGTTCCTGAGAGACTAAGAGAAAATGGTTGAAAAGAGGAAAGAAGGAAAAGGATTTACTAGTGGAATAGAAGGTAAATATAGCCAATGGTGGAAAAATATGGAATGAAAATAAGATGAGTGAAATATAAAATGAAAATATGATGTAAAATGAACTGTGCATCATAGAAGATATAAAGGGGGGAAACCCGGACAACACTTTGTTTATAAAAGAAATTAAAATATGTAACAATTTTTTTAAAAAAAACCTTCGTTTAAAAAAAAAAGTCCTTTTGTTTGGAGTGCCCAATGTTGTATTTATATTACATGTTCCAGGGTAACTTACTTTAGGTTTCATCTCCTTGACTTTATATTATTAACAAATCATACAACAACATAGAAACAACAGAAAAACAACATGTATAATCAGAATTCAGGTAACACATTACTTTGGGAAACAAATCCTATCTTTGAAAGTTTTTCACTTTTATTTTTTCACTTAGAAATACATAATAATGCTGATGGAAATTCACAATGAGTTAGCTCTTTAAGATGACTGAATAAAATTAAAACTACCTAGTTGGACTTCTTGGACTGATAGTGAAATCTTTACAAACATTCTGACTTGAAATATAAATTGTATCTTTTGAAAATAATCAATAATTAACTCATCTAAACATCCTAAATTAAACCTTAGATAAGTGTCATCACTGTTCCCCAATTATTTACAAATATAATCACATCTGATATTTCCAGGGTCGCTTAAAATTACTAGATGAAAATGTAATAGAATTGGATTATCAATAGTCACAAAAGAAGCATAAGCTAGCTCCTACAATAGTAGGATTTACACTTTTACTTCATATAACATTATAGCATTCAGCTGTTAAAATTGGCTTATGAATACACATTGTTAGAAATTTAAAGAGAAGTCAGTTCTATTATTTACTAAGTCATTGATTTCTTACCTCAAATAAGCGCAAATCTGCAGGAACTCTATCACCCACTGATAGGCAAACAGTATCTCCAGGAACTAAGTCTCTTGCAAGTGTATGTTCTACCTTTCCTTCTCGAACACTGGAGAGACATAAATAGATAAAAAGTTAACAGAATATATCTATGATGGCGAACCTATGGCATGCAGGTGGCACGCAGAGCCCTCTTTGTGGGCACACGTGCTGTCTCAGCTGCTCTTCTGGTTTCTGGTGCGCGCATGTGCACCAGCCAGCTAGTCTTCACACATGCCAAAGCACTAGAAACCTGAAAACCAGCTGGCTGGCGCATGTGTGTGCCGGCCAACTGGTTGTGTTTTTGGCGCTCCGGCACACGCGAAGACCAGCTGGCCAGCATGCGCATGCCGGAAATCCAAGATCATGCGCACCGGCCACCTGGTGATCGTGTTTCCAGTGCTCTGCCGCACACATGCAGGGTATGATTCCAGTTGGGGCACTCAGTGCCAAAAAGATTAACCATCACTAGAATATATTATTCCTTCACATTTATTTTAAGAATTAAAAAGACCTTTAAATTTAACAGCTAATAAGACCACAATGTACGTTATTCCAATCCTGATGCTATTTTAAAAAGTCCTAAAGACCTCTAGAGTAGATGGGAATGACCTTAGAAAACAGGGGAAAGAGCCACAGACTAGCCAATTATATGAAAGGTATTGCAATCTACAGAAGTAGTGAGGATGTGGGAAGCATTTTAGATTAGAACCCCACTAGTGTGAGTCGAAGGAAAGGAGGGAAAAAATACTTTCGATTGCCAAGATTTTGAAGATGTAACTTTACAGTAGGGATAGATAGTGTATCAATTTGCTTCTTCACTGGACTACTTCAAAGGACTAATAACACATGACTATTTTCCAAAGCTTTGGGTTAAAGCAATGGTTCCCAACTTTTTTTTGGCCATGCCCCACCTAAGCATCTCTAAAATTCTGATGTCCCCGGTGACATATAATTCTTACTTTACTCAAAAAGTGAACTCTACTCACATAGAGGAAGCCTAAAAGGCCATTAACTTGGTTTAAACAAGGTTCAAATTGTCCTAATTAAAAATCAAATTGCCCTCCTGTAGGGCGTGGGCCCCACATTGGGAACCACTGGGTTACAGTGATTGGAATATGTCAGATACATTTGCGTGTATAGATGTTGTTGACCCGATTTATCATTTTGTTCTTCCCCCCTCTTTTTAAAAAAAGATTTCTACTTATGTTGCATTTTCTATCTTGTTTAGTTTTATATAAACTATCCAGTCTCAGTTTGGGGTTATGCAATGCCTACATCTAATAAATTAAAACAAAATTCAAGTTATAATCTTTGACTGGCCTTTGTGTGTACTTCAGGATAAAATTTGTTTGATTTGCTATACTAAACATCATCCCTTTCAGATGTTATTTGTTCCATTTCAAGTAGAAATTGAGATTGAAGTTTATAAATATGAACAAAAATCAAAATCCCAACTATTTTTTCTCCTTTATTAAAATTCCTTTGAAATTTGTATCATGAATGTACAATATAAAAAAGATGTGTTTTTTGCACATGATTTTTTCACATCTATAATTAGCCAGATTTTTTAATGAATTCTATTGTACAGAATTAAAACCATGGTCAGGTGCCATCTTATGGAATCTCTATAAAAATATAATTGTAGAGAGGGTTGGATTAAAAACAGGTTTATGTGGACTCATACAAATTGATGGAACTTAAGGCATGCATGTCGGAATACAGGTGAGTGTAATTTAATAGCCACAAAATCTAGCAATTGTTTATACATAAATGATACGAACCTTAAAAATATTATATATTTGAAAGATTGCACTTTTTATTTATAGAATTATGAACTATTTCTCTGCTCATAAGCATTTCTTCAACAACTAGATTCCCCCTTCAAAAGAGTCAATTATCATCTGGTGGCTCAAAAGTGTCTGTATTCACTATTCTTTCAAGGGCACAAGTACATAAAAATCAGTCATTTAAAGAACCACTGTTCATAATTTATTTTCAAAGAATATTTCATACTATTATTCACTGTAATCTTCAAATAGTATTACATTTTACAATTAAATTGAAATCATCAAAATAATTACTGCTAAACAGGTCAATTCAAATAAATCACAGCTATTTTGCAAAATATGAAATTAGATTTGTATCTTCAGACATGTCACATACATCTAAAACCAGAATGTTAATTCTTACCAGTGACATCCTGGAGGTACAAGTTTACTCAATTCTTCAAGAGATTTTTCAGAACGATATTCCTGCAAATACAAAGCATGAAATTAGAGACCAGACTTTGATATATGCACAAGATTTGTGAATGTCTGTACTTCTGTAGTTTATCTAGTATTTTCCACATATGCAAAATTATTAACGGATTTTTCCCCAAAGAGCTAGTATTACATTTTCAGCACAAAACTTAATTTTGTAGTGGATCGTCCCAGGTCAGCCTAATCATAGGATAGCATGTGACTTTTTTATGGCAGCTGGATGCCTTCTTTGGAGCAAGTGACTTACACTGATTTCTCCAGTCCAGAAAGCTCTTCCACAATTTGGGTAAAGAGGTCAGTAGAATGCATCACTGAATGCTATTACTGCTTCCAAAAGATCAGTCATGATTAATTTTAATTACTTGACAAGAACTATGGTCATTGTTAGCATTCCATGGCATAATCAAGAAATGAAAAGTTTTGTGTAGCACTAGTATCCTGTGTAGCTTCTTATACAGTGGATATTACTACAACCTGTATTACATGTCTATTAGCAAAAGTGGTATCTGTTGATTACCAAGTGTTGATAAACATCATACTACATTTGCATCAACCAATAAGATCACATAGATTAGGCCTCCTCCGCATTCCATCGGCCAGCCAATGTCGGCTGGCAACTACAAGGAG